AGGGCTTCGGTCATTTACTCCAAATATACTGACTGATACTGACTGACTGATTCACGGAGCATTTCGATCGTTCGCCAACAGTCACCGCACACCTCTTTTGAAAAGTAGTGCGACATACTCAGCGGGGCATATACCATTCGACAGCAGACTGGACATCTTAATTTCATGGCCTGTTGGTCGGCGTGCAAAGTAACTTCCCCACTACGGCGAATGCCAGCCGAAGTTTCTTCCTGGATGGCTTCTTCCACAATAGATTCACGGAGCATTTTGCCCGTTTTCCAACAGTCACCGCACACCAGTTTCGAAAAGTGTTTGGACATCCGCAGCGGCGCTTGTACCTGCCGGACGCATATTGAGCATATTGCCAATTCGCCCTGTTGCTCGACTTGTGAAGCCTCCTCAATACGCTTCAGCAAATCATTGAGGGTACGAAACGGTTCCACATCTGCCGCGGAGAAGACTAATCTGCAATTTGGGCAGGTTGGTGGTTCTGCATTGAGCAACCTCTGCAAACAGGGTTCTCTGCAGAAGAAATGTTCGCACGGCAGACGATATGCGTCTTTGCAAGTCTCTAGGCAAATTGAACACTCTACTGCATCCAAGAGAGCTTTGGATGACACCGCCATTGCTCGCTGACTGACGTCGCTGACACCACCACTATGAATATCACCGAGGGATGTGGGCTGAGTGTGAAATCGAATGTATGCCTGACTAATTAGCGCTAAGCGTATGCCGCGGTCGTGGTGTAATTACACGCCAACCAATACGTTTACGCAATGTCGCAGTCATCTGGTGGCGCTTAAAAAGACCTTCACGTGTATGTGTTTGGTTGGCGAGGAAGAACTGACGACGTAATTGCGATTAGCCAGCTGGGTTCTTGATTAAATTTTATTGTTGACAGTTTAAGGTGAAATTATTAACCACCAAAAGTAGATTTACCACTGTTGTAGTAATATACGCCGTGTTGAGATCTCGCTTTGTCAAAAAAAACCATACAAATATCGGACTGACATCGGCGACTGTCCATTTGTGCTAATGCAAAAATCGTACAAAATACTTGTCACAATTGAAAATATGTTCGATGGTTTATATCAATGTTAAATATTCCGTCAGCGGAAGCATTATTAAAATATAGACATGCAATCATGGGGACAAGGGTTTTAGTGTTTCCTTGAGGAAAAAGGTTAGGGGTAGAGTAACAGTTAGGTTAAGGGAAGGGTGTACGGTAAGAGTACGGTTTGCGTATAAAAATATTTACGTATTTACATATAGTTAACTACATAACCGAGATTAGCATAACCTCCTCGTCCCAACGAACCGATTACTCTTGTAGTAGTCTTCTAAATTATAAACTGTTGTGAGTTTAAAAAATAGGGCAAAAGAAGACTTTATTTCATGGTCTTATTTCAATCTCTAAAATCGGCAAAAAGTGGACACAGAGTCGGTATAGATTCAGCATACGATTGCATGCCACATTCGATGTGGATTCGATAAAGAGTCGATATGAGTGTAAGGCCCATGTAGCTGTCCACGTCAAAAATTGCCGTGCACAGGGTAAGCATCTTGAAAAGAGAGCTAGTATCCCAGGAGTTGCCGTTTCTGATACCACCCAGCGAGATCTAAGAGCTCACCTGCGTGGCGTCATCTGTGCGTTTATTCGCACTGCTTTTAGCGCAGTCACGGGGAGTAGAAGGAGGGCGTTCAGGTCTTTGTCGTATCAGGCTGTCAACGCTGGTGACTAAGGCGTGCGTCACATGGACATGAGAAGATCGCATACTTATTTTGTGAAGCCGACTCAAAACTTTATAGGAGTTAAGGCTAAGACGGTTAACCCTAACACCTACAATATTCCAGGCTCGGTTCCTTAGGAGATGGGAGAGAA